GCACCAAATTTTGATTTTTGGACGGGCAGTTGCGAAATCAAAAGATGCAAGGACAGTAAGAGAACCTAGAAAAATCCGTTTGCATTGTCGCACGTGGCCGAATTCAATACTACACTAAAACCTCTCAGGATTATAGATCACTGATATATTGTTCCCGTAATTTTATTGCCATTGGCTATAAAGGACCAAAAGATGGGAAGTGCTTTGATGCCAATTGAAGGCTTATTTCTTCTGCCAGATTGCATACAAGCTCAGGTAATTGTAAAAGGAATACGCCGAAATGAAACAGCAACAATAAAGACTGTAACAAAGAAGCATTGAGACATTGATGTGACTGAGATCTTGTCAAGTTAAGCTTCGTGAAGCAGAATGTTTTGCAACGATGAGTTAGTAAACTTTTTATTGAACCTCCCTAGGGCTGACAAAATCAAAAAAACAGGTGCTACATGTTTAGAAAAACTAGTGCAATGAAATTATAATATAATGTTTTGACTAACCTTTGCGAAGATTCATAGCGTTGAGATTGCGTTTTTATTTTTATTAAAATCCAACTAGTGGTCTATTATCAATGCTACGTTCTGATTGGTTGAGCTACTACTAGGCTACATGTTATAGCCCACTAGTAGCGAAAAGCGCCGGCTTTGAAAACCAAAACGATGGCGGCTGAATCAGACGAGTATTTGAGCTCATTATTAGATAAATCTATACCAAAATCAACAAAGACGTCAACTAAATATGCGCCAGTTAAGAAGGTAAGGTAAGAACCAAGGCACGACCAATTGGTGTTAGGCTTTAATCAAACTGGGATACAACTAGCAGCCGAGTAACAGTAACAATATGGCGGACGCCAGGCTATGAACAACAGATAACGCATGCTAACTCATAGTACCGCTGACCGGTACTGGCGTGACTTCTTTTTTCCATTTTTTTTCAGCTGAATAGACATAACGTTTAAGCGAGAAAACTGGAACCAAAAACATAGTGGAAAGTACTTAAAAGCACTATTTAAACTCTTAAGCTGACTTAACGACCCAGACGGGTCCTCAGGGCAAGATGGCTGGGCAGCTGTGTCGTCCATGATGCGGTCGGCAGGAAAGGCGGGAGCAGGTGGTGTAACACAGGGAGGAGTGTTAGAGATCGTCTTCGTCATCCGAGTCGTCGTGTCCACGACACTGGCAAGGAGCATGTAAGGGATCAGCCAAGTCGGAAGGTACCTTGAAGCACTTAGTAAGTTTGACGCGGTAAGATGAGCCGCGTAATTGGGATCCAATGAACTTTTTGATATCACAGAATGGTGGATCTATGGCTACAATAAGGTAGCGGTCGTAGGCTCGAGACTTGTTCCGATCGGAATGAAGGTACACTAGGTCACCAACAACAATTAAATGAGTAGGACGCCTGTTGTGCAATGGAGCTTTGGAGCACTCACTTGGGGGGTGATTGGATAGACGCTGCTCGTGCTGGAGGGCAATTAAATGGTCGTCGGCAAGGGGTAACTGCTGGTTTGAAAACTGGTCCGGCTGTGTCCACATTTCTCGCAAGGATAGGCCACATGAACAGATACGAGAGTTCAAGGCAGAAGTGGCTATGGCGAGAGTGAGGGGAGAAACGGCAGCACCTAAAGGCTCCTGGCGGAGAAGTTCTGCTTCCAACTCCTGGACTGCTCTCTCAGCTATGCGGTTCTTGTTGGGATTTTTGACCTGACTTAAGAGAGGGTCGTCAACGAGAGCCTTAAAGCCAGGTGCAGGGTCAGTACGGATCACGGCAGGTGGGCCATCCATAGGGCGCAATTCTAAGCAGAGCTTTACAATGGCGTTGCGACGTTTGATGACGCTCGTCTTCAAGAGATACACTGGAAGTGTAACAGGTCACAGTCTCGCGGAGGACAAAGATAAGCTGGCGAGAACGTTAAATGACGTCTGCGGCGAAGGACTGACCAATAGCGTCGGGTGGAGGGGAAGTGGACTGGTCAATACGTGCGGTTGGAGAGCTTCGGATTGCTGCACAGGAGTGGCACCCATCGGAGACAAGAGGGACATCCTTGTCCAGATCGAGAGCGTATAGATAGCGTTGAACGACCATTTTCAACTGGTGACAAGACGGGTGGCTGAGTTGTATGTGAAGGGCAGTCACAAGGCCGTCCAAAGCGTGGCGTGGGACAATGATGCACTCTCTGGACGGTGACAAGGGTTCACAACGCCGCACAACAAGGAGGCCATCATCTGCAACTGACGCAACTTGTAAATAACGTTTGACGTCCTTTATGTTTGAGTTTTTTGGACGGTCTCGTACCCTGGACGAGGTGAGCGTGGGTGCGGGGTAGATCTGGGCACTCAGACTGAACAGCCACCCAGGCAGGCCGGCTGGTAAAGGGAAGGCGAACATTGCCTTGGAGGACATCTTGAACAGAAACGGTTCAGACAACAGTTTCCCTTGTTCGAGAAATGAAAGAGCACACCTGACAGGTCTCGTTTTCACAGGCGGCGGCGTTTCGGCTTGCGAAGTCTGACGGGAGGATAGCAGCGCCAGCGACATGCCTGACTGAAGCTTGGTAGCGACTCACGACAAACAAGAAAGTGGATACGCGAGGGCTGGCAGGGAACTCCCCGCGGCAGAGTTTCTCATACGCTTGAACGCAAGGCTTACTGTCAGTTAGAATGCAGGCCTTTTTAACAGACTGAATAAGATACGGGCTGAAGTGCTTCGTTGCAGCCGCAATGGAGAGGGCTTCGACCTCGCATGGAAGCCACGTTGTTTGGGAGCCCCGCAACTTGGTGCTGAAGAAGCCAGACACATAACTTATCTTCGCGCGTTACGTAGAGGGTGGCACCTATTCCAGGGTCCCAGACGGCTCCATCAGTTACAATCCACAGCCTCCTCCTCGGGTCTGGGTAATGTGATTGTGAGTGCAGAGGAAAGAGCGTTCTGCGCACTACGGAATGCGGCCCTTAGATCATCGGTCCAGTTAATAGATTCCTGAGAAGGACGACCGGCTGTCACAGCATCCAGTGGAGCGAGGTAACTTGAGCGCCTTGGAATGACACAGGAAAGGACTTTGTAAGCGCCAATGAAGGATCTTAAGCGAGCAATAGTGTTCGGCTCGGTGTACGTGGCGAGGGTGTTAAAACGGTGGGGACTGGCAGAAAGGGAGCCAGCATTCCAGATCCAGGCGAGAATATTTGTAGTTTTGGGACTGATGATGGTCTTGTGGGCAGACAAACGCAGGTTGCACTTGTGTAGGGCTTGTGGGACCCTCTTCCAGTTGTGGAGTAGCTCTCGGGGTGTGTTGCCACCACAGTACAGATCATCAGCGATTTTGGCAACGGATCCGTCTTGTAGTAGTGGGCCTAGGACGCGGCTCATAACCTCTTCAAGGGCAGTTTCCAATCCGGCCATACCCCTTGCGGAACGAACATAAACTCCTACACCTTTAAACGGAGTGGCAACGCCGCAATACTTCATGGACTCTTTAGCCAAAGGTCTTTGGTAAAAGGCACTTGTCAGGTCTGTGACGATGATATGATACCACTGGGCGATGCGGCGCAGGGTGGAGTCAACGTCAGGCAGCAAGGAGGGTCGGGGTTTACTGTACCGGCCTACGTCAGCGAAGGCAGTGACAAGACGAGAACCGCCGTTCGGCTTTTTTACAAGGAAAGAAGGGTTTAGGTATTCTACAGTGATACCAACATCTTCAGGGCGCTGGAAGACACCAAGCTGCTCTAGGTGGTCGAACTTCTCTTGGAGTTCTACGAGCTTATCGCGAGCATATTGGGGGAGGCAGCCTTTCCGCTGTGGGGGCTCGACGGGGCCCATGTTGACCTTTGCTTGGTAAGGGCCTGCAGATCCACTGTAACCTGGGAACTGAGGGTCAAATACGGAGTCGTACTCACTGAGCAGAGATTGGAAGTTGGCTCTGACAGCCTCAGGGAGAATGCGGCCTGGGTCTACCTGGACGGATGCAGAGTGACTAGCATGAGAGGGTGGTAACGGACGCTGAGTAGGAGGCTGACTTGTCGGTGGCTCCTCTTTTGGTTCGAAGACAGGGGTTTGACCTGGCAGAAGTGTTTGTGACGCTTAAGCGTTCGAGGTTCTGTTGACAGGTTTGGTATGCGGATAGCCCGTACAGCACTGGGTTGTGGCCACAGCTAAGAGGGCTTGAGATTACGTAAACTAGGTGCATCAGTGGGGGGTTTAAGTACATACTCTGAATCAGGGGGAGCATCGTCTGGGAGCTGTACTTCCAAGAATTCTCCAGCTCTGCGAATGGTTGTGGGGGGGCTGGGAGGGGCCTGAGACCCATATGTGTAGGTGGAGCCATTGCCAAGTAGCACCTCTCTCTTGGCGGGCCGCACGGCAACCTCGTTTGCTTCCATAAAAGGGGTCCCGGCAAGCACTTCGACGTCAAGATCCTCGACGACAAGTCCCTCGAATGTAAATTCGGTGTTGTCGCGGGTGAAGGATATTCATATCTCTCCGACCACCTGAAGCTGAGAAGAGCCATCTGCCTGCTGGATGGACTGAGCACTTGATATAATTGGACATCCAAGATGTTTCGCAGTGGAGTGACGATATTTAACGGTAGGAATGCAATAAAGTAAATTTGAAGTGTTCACAAATGTTACCATAAATTTGACTCGTTTTGCAACTACTTTTTCAATCGTCTTTTTGACAAACTAAAATAAATATTTTTACAGAATGGTTTTCAAGCCAAACAAGGTTTGAAACTCCGATAGAAGACATGAAGAAACAAGATCTAAATGACTGCCTGAAAGTTTTTTATGCAGCAGTGAAGCAGAAAGACGGAAAAGATTTCAAAATTTCGTCTCTCTGTACAATACGAGCAGCAATAGAAAGATGTCTAAAACAACCGCCAATAAACAAGCCGTGGTCCATTGTCGTAGACCCTGCATTTGAAACTGCAAACAAGGTCCTCAATGCCATTTGTAGGAAGAATTCACAAGAGGGAAAAGCTAGCCCACTAGTCCACAAACATCACCTACATGACCCTGTATTTTGGTAAAAGAGGCCGTGAGAATCAAAGAAAGCTTACAAAACAAATGCTGCTACTCCAGTCAATCCCCCGAGGTCGCCAATACTATGAGCTTAGAAATTTGCTGGGAAGTAAAAACCACCAAGGCGGCCTGCATGATAGCAATGATGAATCAGACGGCAAAATGTTTGCAGTTCCGAATTCGCCAAGATGCCCGGTAAAAACAGTGCAAAATTACTAAAATCACCTGTATCCTGAATTAGAAGTTCTTTTCCAGCGTCCAACAGAGGCATCTTCTAAGTTCCAGGCTCAAAAACACCAGTTTTGGTTCTGTAATTCACGGATTGGCGAGTCCACTCTTGGAAATATGATGAAAACAATGTCACTCGCCGCCTCAATTATTCCACACTTGACCAACCACTGTGTTTGGGCAACTTCGACTTCTATCTGACCACAATCAGAATTCCCATCTCTGCCGATAGTAGAGCAGATATGCGCTTCAATTGTTCACTTCCTGTTAAAAGTATGAAATTTGGCATAATGATAGTTTTCAAGGCCCTAAAAAAGATAGGATATGGTGCCATCGCCAAAAAGTCCGTAAAGTGCGAAAAATAAGAGTTTTAAAATGGCAGCCATTTTGAACCGGAAGTGAAATTAATATTTTCTTTAAAACGTCTGAATTTTAGCAACTTGGATAAGAAAATGTCAGCAAATGCCTAAGGCAGCCGTTTTTTCACACAAAGAGATATTATTTCAACGCAAATTGTCTAAAAAAGTAGAATAGAGATGATATAAGTGGCCGCCAGCTAGACCGGAAGTAAAACTACCAGAGTCGGAACTTTTAAGGAATGAACTTAAACTTCTGTTGTGCCTGCTAATTTTCTTAACTTTAATATTTTCTTTAAATCTAATGTATTCACTAAATTTACTATTCAGTTCATCATATATAATCCATCACTAAACTTGAACCTACTTTGGCTATGATACAGAATATCGAAGAAGAACAGATGATATCTCGGTGACATAATGACTTCATACTTCATGCAGACGAGTGCTTGTAATCGAAAAAAAAAAAGTTGGGGGTTGCCTTTCACGATTGTCACTCTTCTGGGCATAGCCCTTCTTACGATCGTACTTGACTAGTTCCACCCTCAACTTTGTAATTTCTGACAGTGGTGTGCAAGAGAGTCGCCCCTCTCCTCTTAGAGATATCCAGCCTCAATCTTGCAGACTAGGAACCGAGATGCTTGGTACCAGTGCCTACTGACTCCATATGTGGCCAGCATGGTTCGCCGTGCCCTTGAAATGTTTAAGAAATGCAGGCCGGCTCAAAGAAACTACTTTTGGCTTCGTCAGTTGACGGTAAAAAACTACTTTTTCTATCGCATAAAAGAAGGTGTAAGCGAAAGCTACTCCGATTATTTCTTGAGGTGACAGGAAGTATTCACCTTGTCACATCGTGTGAATGGGTGGAACGGAGGAAGTGCAAGTGCAACCTTTTTAGTAAAGACGTTATCAATCTCATAGGCTGCAAGTTAACATCGATGTAAATTAGTACCAAGATATATGATAGGGAAGCTAACTTGGCTTCATGGTAGAGAAGCTTCATGGGTAGTTAGAATGGAGAGTGGACTCAACGAAAATGTCTTGGACACAAACAACATAGAGACTTTACAGAAGGGAATCTGCTTTGTGATATAGCATAACAATAAACGCTTTCTAGCGAATCGACTTCAAACGATGCAGGGAAAAGACTGGACATCTGGCCCTAGACGACATGCGTTGCTCAATGTGCAAGGAATCTAAAGAGCGCCTGCTTGTTTCGATCTTTACAAAAGAACTAGCTTTTTCCAGTTTCTTAGTATAGTTCCTGATACACGTGTACCCCAGATGTTAGTCTTCAAGCTGTTCTCGGCGCGACATATTTGTTGCATACTATATCCAAGAGAATACGTTTTACATGCTCAGGAGATTAACGTAAGTGATGCACATTCAGAAAACGCTTATTCCTTATTTTCTTGCATGTGGAATTAAACATGATAATCAGTGCTGCTCAGTCCATGATAGTTAAATGACATTCTGGGGGTGGTTACATTGAAGATTAGAGACTAACTCTTATTTCTGTCGAGAGAAGCGCAGATTCGCTTGATAGTGAAATACAGCTGAATTAAACCGCCGCCCAGTCAGTTCCAGGTGCATAAACACCGGTTTACTGAGCAGGAAGCCACGGTTTCAAACGCCAGCCGGACCAATTGTCGATCAGGATCTTTAAATAACTGACGAGAAGTGCTGCCTGATGTCATCTGCAAACGGTTAGACTTTCTAGTCTTCTTGAAATTAAAAAAGACCCTGTAGGCCCCGTCTCACGGTCCTTGTTCATATAAAATGCTGTGGGAAGTTAAAGAACCTAGACACTGTTTGTAAAGAGTAGGCTGAGTAGGGGACCCATTTCCAAGCGTATTTCCTGGAAGCTTTTTGAAAATGGTAAACTTTGAAATAAGTAGACGTTATCGTGAAAGCAATTTCAATCCAATATGTACATGCAGAGAGTGTTATTTATACTTCTCAGTAACACAAAGTTGTGGAGCTATTATACCTCAACTTACTTTGAAAGCCGCAAAGCATTCTGCATTCTAGTTAATAGTGGATCAACTCTTTTAACCCTTACAAATTCTTCAAACTGGTCTCTATACATTTCCTCAAAAAGGATAAGTTGAGAGAATTTGATAAAAGATCAAAGGATTTTCTCTTAGGTGATGATTTTATTAATTCTAAAATCCTAATCTCTTAACCTTGTATCAGGGGATATTGTGAGTCAGAAGAAAATTGATGTTGGTCACTATTGGGACTTAAAGGGTTAAACCAAGTAAAAAGAAGTAATCTGTTTTTTGCTAGTTTAATTTGTTCGTATATTTGACCTTTCCTATGCTTACAAATGTGAATCATTGTTTCATGTTTTTTTAAAATTCATTACCGAAATGAATTGCTTTGAGTGAGTTGCATTTTCCATTTTATCCCGCGTTTACCTCCGGTTCTTTCATTTAAACGGCTAATTTGTAACACTGTTGACTTTTTTATATGACATAAATATCCGGAAAAACATAGAACAAACAATTTTGTCGTCATTTTGACCTTATTATGCTAAATTTCGTGTACTTTCGGTAAGGTCATGTTTACTTCCGGTCAAAATGGTGGCCATTCTAATAATACTCCAAAAACCGGTTTAACAGAAAAATTTGCGATGGCACCATATCACATAATAATAGCCACGATTAGTTTATACAATAAACAATTTCATCGTCATTTTGGCTCAAAAAAGTGCTTAATTTTGTGTACTTTCAGTTACATGATATATATTTACTTCCGGTCAAAATGGCGGCCAGTTTAATTTTCACTCCAAAAACCAGTTTAACAGGAAAAATTTGCGATGGCACCACATCACATATTAATAGTCATAATTAGTTCTGTCGTTCCTGAAAATTTGGTGCTTTTAACAAAAAGTGAACAATCCGGCCCCAAATCTGCACATATCCGCCCCACTATGACTCCTAGCACAAGTTCTGCCATTACTTCATCTCAACAGATCGAGAATAATCAGGATGTAAGAATTCAAGCTCCCCAGGTTTTCCACTTTCATGGATGCAACGTCTCTATCGTCAACAACAACTTCATGCGTTGAACAACAAATGTGAAATCAAGCTGGTAGATTGCTTTGTTTCCATTGACTTTAGTGCAAAAACAGGAACTGAATTTCCATTCGATCAGGTCTCTTAGAAAGTATTTTAAATAGCCTCTTTAGAAAAAAATTGCAAACCTCCAGCACATGCAAATTTGAGCGGTTTCAAGGAGCTGCAGATTTACTGATGTGTTTTAAGAATTGTGAGCGAGTGCGCCTGGCCATATTTGTAATTAATGTTTTGGCGGCAAAAAAGGATTAAAGTCTAGCTTCAACTAGTGAAAGTTGTTTCATCTTGATATTTTTCACCAACTAGTTGGGTTTTATTGAAACAATTATTCCCCTCGCCCTTATGGCCTCTGAGTCAATAGCCCATCGGCCTCATGGGCTATTGAGTCAAAGCCCTTTTGGGCTCAAGGAATAATTGATAAATATCTTTCAAACGTTTGAGACTAGAAAGCAAGCAAATCAGGCAAATGTCACTGGCTTGGAACAATTGACCTTCTCACATTAGAAAAGCTGTTTTTGAAGTGAGCGGAATGAGATTTTTGCGTCGCGAGGTGGCCCTGCTAGCGATCAAAGGCGATGAGTCTTCGCGCCGCAAGCCAAATTTTAAATAAGATGAAGAACTTCTTCAAAATTAAAAATATTACTTGAGAATGTAAACAACAAATCTCTGTTGATGGTGCGGTCCAGAAGGAAATCTTGTCGAGTCAATTAATGACAGTTCTATTGTCTTTTGAAGAAAAAACAGACTACGCTCGTGCCAGAGTGTAATCGGGACACCGTCCCTTTAAGTTTATCAGTATGCTAGGTGCAAGAACGAAGATGTTTGAACCAGAACCTAGCTACCAACATTACGACTTTCGTCATTTTGATAGGATCTTCAGTATTTGAAAAAGCTCGATCGATCACAATTACTTGTGACCACCGTTTTAATATTTTCTCCTAGGTATTTCGACCTCCACTGACGTTATTGATCCTGAATGCTTATGAGTCCATTATTGACCCAATCTAGGTCAAAAAAGGTCTTAAAAGGAAAGTATAAGGATATGGTGTAAGCTTATATGAATGCTGGGTGTTACTGGTAGTTTATTAAATATAACCTCAGTTTTATGTACTTGAGGAACGAAGAAGAACAAAGAACATTCACCCAAAAATGTTATCCTTGTTTACGCGCAAACCGTGCTTGAAGTGATCGTCTGATCGAAATTGTTGTGCAATTTCACTGCTTGACTTTGTATTGGAAAGGATCTGTTGGGTAGAAATATGAGCTAAGCTAAAAGAATTTTAGTAAAATCGAACTGGTGGTCTATTATTTGGTTGAGCTACTACTAGGCTATATGTTTTTACCTTAGTAGTGAAAATCGCCAGCTTTAAAAACCAAAACGATGGCGGCTGCGTCGCGTTTTGCTAGCTAAAATTATTTTGCCTTGATATTTTTTACCAACTAGCTAGATTTGACTAAAACAATTATTCCTCTCGTACTCATGGCCTCTGAGTCAATAGCCCATTCGGGCTCAAGGAATAATTGTTGAAAATAATGAGTTTGAAATCTGCAGATTACATTAGCTTAACTTTAAGGCTTGCATGATTTATACTACAAAGATTTTTGTTCTGCTATAGAACACCACCTTATTGTCTTTAAAAAGACAATGTAAAAAAGACCGTGAGTGCTGCCAAGTTACGAAATTGCAAAGAAAGAGTTAAAGGTGCTGCTTGTGAGGCCCTCTGAAAGGATACCAATCATACTGATTGGTATCCTTCGCATCACTTCGAAAAACGTTTCTTATACCATACAAGTGCCATTTGTTTTCTTAGTCTTACGTATGAGCAAAGAAAAGTTCTCAAAACTGCTCTTGCAGGACACAACTTGCTCCTCTCCGGACAGGCTGGAACTGGAAAATCGTTTGTTGTAGAAGGGTTGGTACGTGAATTGCGGCGTTGCGGGCGGAGAGTTGTTGTTGTTTGTTCCAGTGGCATTTCTTCTTCTGTTTATGGGGATGGTGTAAAATCATGTACTGTCCACTCACAATATTCCCTACAAACTGCAGATATGCCAGCTGAGATGGTGGTTGCAAGGGCCGTTGCAATCTCTCATGTGGTTGGAAGAATAAAGGAGGTGGACACAATAATATGGGATGAGGCAGGTATGTCGAGTAGAAGGATCTTCCAGTTGGTGAATGCAATCCACCACACTTTAGCAGAAGGAGATGAAGCTGATAAGCCTTTTGCATCCAAGCAGCTTATTGTTGTTGGGGAATTTTTGCTGTCGAGGCCAGTTCCAGGTACGTTCGATGATGGGGAATTTATGTTTCGTGCAGAATTGTTCAGAAAGGTAATAACCCATGAGATTTGAACTCAGAACTGTGATCAGGCAGACCTTAAGCGACCAGACGTTCCTTAATGCACTGAAGGATCTTCGCCTTGGAGAATGCAGTGCAAAAACAGAGGCCCTATTGAACTCCTTAAATAGGCCCATTGAAGGGGAGGCAATACATATTTACTTTACAAAACTTTCAGTCCAGCTTCATAATCAAGAATCTCTATTTCAAATGCCTGGTGAGCTGGTCAGGTTTGATGCGCTTGATGAGGGAGATGTCACAGGGATAAGTTGTCCAGCAGATGTAAGACTTCTCCTCAAACCTGGGGTCAAGGTAATGTTGTGTGGAATGTTTTGGAGAAAATCAAAAATAGAACAAGTGGTTTATTTATTGGGATAGAGGGTGACAGATTAGAAGTGGAGGTTGAGGGTCATGGTAGGGTGCTGCTGAAGAGGGAGACATGGTCCAAGAGGAATCGTGCTGGCCAGGTAGTTGGAAGCCGCACTCAATATCCATTGGTTTTGTTTTTTGCTTGCACATGTCATAAAACCCAGGGACTAACCCTGCCAGGTGTTGTGGTGCATTGCTCTAAGGAATTTGTTCCCGGATTACTTTATGTTGCTGTTTCAAGGGTCCGCAAAGTGGAAGAACTGCAGATCTGCCGGTTTAATGGAAACAGCTCTTAAAGCCTCCACCTGATGCTTTGGAGGTTTGCAAATGCAGTGAGGAGATGCGGCCTGATTTGACATGTTGTATAAACCAGCAGTTGGACAGAGCATTGTTCAAGGTTGGTGACATAGGAGAGGACTTTGTAGAAAAGGATGGGGACGCACCCGAAGTGCTACCTGTAGACGCATACCCCGATGGCCTGGTATCATCATACTTTGCGAAAGAAGGGGATGAGCTTATGGTTGATCTGGGCACTGTGTTCCTTGAGCTGGACAACAGTGAAAACCAATTTAGTCAGCCACCTGAACACTATGACATTGTCAAATTGCTTCAAAAACAAAGGGTCCCAGAAGAAAAAAAACAGTTCTGTACTGAGAGGAATGCAGCCATTCAGAAATTTTTGTCCAATCGTTTACATCAATTGAAGCTGGTATCAAAAATCTTGTGGTTGAGAATCTTCCAGATAATGGGCGATTACCTGGCAAGTAATCATGAAGAAATTGTCATATTACGGAAACACTAAACTGACATGACTCATAAATTGTACCTTGATGCTATTGGGTCAGTGGAGTATCGCAAAGAACTGCGCTCCTTATTTCATGTACGAGAGCTCACTGAGGCCCATATATCTATTGGCTCTGATCTCTGCATGGATACATTTGAGTTTTTTGTCCATCACATTGCTAGTAAAGTTACCACTATGCATCGTTCACAACCACGTAGTTTCAGTGTATCAGACATGCCACCCGAAAGACTTGCAAAATTAAGACATGTTGGGGGTTGGGCCATTAGAAAGGAGCTGGAGCGTTGTCGCAGGTGTATTTGACAAAACTTGTATTCTCAATCAACAACTACGCGTCAGAGTGTTTTGATTGCACATACAAAGTGTGAACTGTTGGAAGACAATGTGATTGTTCAGTACTCATGGTTAAAGGATAACACCAGGTTTTCGGAGTCCCTGGAAGTCACTGAGGACAGACAGTTCAGAGAGCGTGGCCTACTTCACATATCAGACCAAACATTTTGCTGTTTCAAAAGAATCGAGGAGATCAGAGTGGCGGAGATGAACAGAGATTGGTGCCAAGGAATAGAAGTGACTTCTTGGATGTGGTAATCGAAAAGATTCAGTGTGATGAAATCCTTTGGGATGCCTGGAGAGGTGCTTTCGAAGACCTTGGGGCAGACAAAGAGGTATGGTCATCTAAGAAGTCATACTTCCTGAGTGCTAATATTATGTGCCATTTTCTGACATATTTTGGAAATCTTTTTTCAAATGGTGGTCAGAATTATTAGTTCATGTTCACTAATCAATAGGTTGGACACTCATCACTCTTCAGGAATGGATAAGAAAACTAAAAAGTTCCATTTTTTATATAACTCATATTGTGGTGTATAACCTGATGTGACGGTAAGTTACAGTGAGAGTGGATCACAATTTACTGCAGTACTTACTATCACTTAATTATAGTGTGGCAGGTCTCCTTTTATCTTCCGCCTGACATAGTATTAACACTGAAAATTTAACTGACACTGTCTAAATTTGCTAAATTCTAACTTCCTAACATTACAATGGTCTAGAAATAGATCTGGCAGCTAGTTTACACGTGTTCTATGGCTTTCTTAAACAGGTTTTAGTGAGACAACTTCTCAAAGATGTCATCACGAGATGCATGAAGATGGCTACTTGTCAATTCCTAAGGCATTTTCGTCGTGGTTATAAGCTAAAGAAAACTGAACACCAGAAACGTGTACTTCAAAGAAAACAAGTTGAAACTGAAAGGAATGACCACCCCAAGTTTGCCACAATGTTGGAGGACAGGTCCACTGGCAAGCAGCACAGCCACCAGAGGGTATGTGTGTTTGTTGAAAAACATGGCATCGCTGGTGTTAAAAGAGTTTACAACAAGGTGCAGTTGGTAAAGCTTTGCAAGGCTTACGGAATCCGGGTCAGGTCAACCTATAACAAGCAAGACCTAGCCAAAGAATTGGTTGAACTTTTGAAAAATAATAGCAGTCTCAATGCCATGCCCCACCCACATCACCTGCAAAATCTGAGTGCTCAGGCTGATGTCGTCGATGGCAGAGTTATGCTAAGAATTACAATGTCAAACTAAGACGTCAATAATTCTTGGTAAGTTTTATTAAGATTTTGATATCTATGTTACAGGTTAAATTTTTTTAACCTAGATTGAGTCGCAATCTCCTGTGTTTCCTTGCCCTAATTAATCATGAATTAGGGCAGGAAACAATGGAAATTGAAAATCAGCCTATGTTAAATCAAAATTGACCGGTAACATTTACATGAAAAATATTCCTTCAAGGGAATTACTTTCTTCTTTCTTTACTAGGCGGTGCATGAGATGCATTGCTTCATGCATAAACACTAGAAACCTATTGCGGCCTTAAAAATATAAATTTTTGCAGTTAACACATTTAACAACAAGGAAAAGAAGACATCAGACATTTACATGTACATGTGTACTAGACTAGGCTCTGGAGATACCAGCATTACACTTTGAGCTTATTCCTTCTTGTCCAAATCTTATAGTGTTCTGTGATGATTCTTGCAACCTGTATGTTGGGTTGTTGTTAGAACCATTGCATGACCTAGTTTGACAAAAGTGGTTCTCTACTCCATCTTGATTAACAAGCCACTGTCTGATTACAGAGTTAGGGAATTTTGTCAACTTGATATTTACAACTGATTTAAAACCATGGACCATTGATTGGAGATCAAACAAAAGCTTACTGGAAATGAACTGTTTAGGTGTTGCCTCCTCTTTCCAATCAGAGAAGAACTGTATGAAACCATCCAGATTTCTTAATCTTGAATCATCTTTACTCATATCTGCTTCCCTACTTGTACTAAAAAATTCAATTACCGAACTTGTGTGGTCTATCATTTGTATTGTTGCATCAAGTGCACTGCCATCCTTTCCATTATTTGTCAAATGTCGTTGGTAGGCCTGCAAAGGGGCAAAAGAAAAAATAAGCAACTAAACACTTTAAGTCAGAAAATGGCAGGTGCACTTATTATTGATGAAGTGCACTAGTGCACTGCCCCAGATGTGGAACATGTAACTTTCTAACATGGTCAACTGGCTTAATTTTGCCAGCAGCATCTTTTTTCTAAAAGCCTTGTTTACAAGAGGTTAATAAGTTGCCTTCCTTTGACTAATAGGGCAATGGTCCCTATTAGGTTATCGGTAACTTTTGCAAATATTTAAAATAAATTTGTGAGGTATTCTTTAAATTTCTTATGTAGCAATGTTTAAAGGTATCCATTACTTTTATTAGGAAATGCATCCTGTTGTCCAGGACATCCTCTGCAAGATGATTGCGCATCCGTAGTGCTGGATCCAGTTGAAAGTGTTCCTCTGTCAGCTTCTCATGAATATGGATAGCCTTCAATGTTTGGTCAAACTTGTATGCGTCTATAAGATGTTTCCAGAGGATTCTTTTCCCAGCTACCGTTAGGCATCTTGGCTTCCCTGCTTCATTACTCTTTTCAATATTGTTTCTTATTTTTTTGAAATTATGCTGCAAAAAAAAAATTCATTCAAAAGTTAGTCAGTATACATGTACACTTGTAAGTAACAAATACTACACTGTGTTATACACTTCGATAGTTATATTACTGCAGGAACATTTTCACAGGCTCCAACTTTAAAGGCTTATGTTCACCTGAGCGGTGTGGAAGGTCCTGTTCTCCAGAAAAATGATTTCGTTTAGTTGAAAACTGCTGTCTTCATTGTGTGTGGAATCATGCTTAGGTCAAGTGAGAAAAAGGCAAACACTCTGCCCAATCAAAACACTGAATTTGACAAAAGAAACGTTTCAAACCAAAAACAGAAGAGTACAAAGCCCATTTGGGGAACATGGGCCATTTAGTGTAAAGGGCATAGAGGGAATTGCCCTCAGAAGATATTGTAAATATTGATGATTATTGTACATTGTTTAATGATGTTCAACATTAGTGCCCCCTCCCCTTCATGTATAATAGAAAGGACATTATGCCACTTTAGAAATAATATTGGAAATACTGCTTGGGAGCGTAACATCGACTTAAACAACCTGTGATGTCAGGTGCACGTATGTTTCATTGATGTACAGGAGGGGGAGAGGGTGTAATTGGAGGTGGTTGCATTCAATTACAGTTTGAAACATAAAGACTTAAAAGAGACCTTCCAAGTAGGTTGAGGTTGTGGTGTGGGGTATGCTGTCCTTGTGTAGATCATTTGAACTGTAAGTGCCGGTCACCTGTTAGTTTAGTAAGGAAAAATGTTCCTGTAGGTTCAGCAGAAATTTATGTGACACTTCATTTTAGAATTTACCTTGCAATCCACCATGAATACCATTGGTCCGCCTGTGTGCATGTTGAAAGCCACAAATTTCTTTTCCACTGGTTCGTAGTCAGGGAAGTGCATTTGGATGAATTTCCTATTCACATCAGCACCATCAAGAATGGTCCAGTAAATGCTGTTAGCAGAAGAAAACAAAT